GAAGGAAGGAAGGAAGGAAGGAAGGAAGGAAGGAAGGAAGGAAGGAAGGAAGGAAGGAAGATTATAACCAATGGGGCAGGCATGGCAGCTTAATCCATGTTTCCCTAACAATCCACAGTGCTAATAATCACCTAAAACATTCAAATAATCACTCCTAAAAGTCTTTTATTGCTTTTCTTCCCACCTGCCCTGCCCTGCCCTGCCCTGCCCCTCCCACATACATACAAAAAGGGAGCATCATTAACAGAATTTTTTTTAGAATGATGGGGAAAAAAAAAGGAAACACATTCATATACAGAAATGCTTAACTCCAAATCAATCCAAAATGATTTCAAGATTATCGCATTCCTATTCTGAGAGAGCCACAAGCCACAGTTGTGAGAGGCATTTCTGCCTTCGGAAAGCCGTTCCCTATTTGGAAGGAAATACAAGATGGATTTGGTGCTTTTTTGGGTTATGATCTCTCGTCAGTTTGTGGAGGCTGGAAGATCCAGTCCCCTCCTCCTCCTCGCCTGTCAAAGCTCTCTGTGATCCAGGAATGGGAACACAGCCATTTATTCCTGTACATTAAACACTAACAATGGAGCATCCTGCTCACTCAGGGATGAGACAAAAGTCTAAAGGTTATGGTCTTGCAATGACTTCCAAAATGCACAAAAATACAGAGCCCCAGATGGAGACGGAAGGTAGCAATGTATATATGCCTTTATTCAATAACATTCTGTTAACTATTCGTATCATTTCATATAATAAGTAGATCATTACTCAGTTCTAAATAACTGGATTTGCTGCAATAAAATCAGCCACGTGTATATATATATATCTGCTATATCAAGCACAAAGGTTTTATGAGCAAATCAAATTAGTACACACAGGACATTCTATCTCCTCCAAACCACAAAATTATTTTCATTCTGTAAAATAATTCCGAGCGGGTTTCATTTGTTGCATAGACTGTTTTTGTACTGGCTTAAAAAAATAATAATAATCCACAAATTTAACACTGCTAAAAGCTGCCGTTTTTCAGAAACTGATGATGTTACCTAGTTGGGTACTGAAAGGTCTGCAAGCAAACCACCAAGCTCAGAGAGCCCCGAGGACTCCAAAGTTAAGAAAATTTACCAAATGTCATTCTGTCTATGTTTGAATAAAAAGTCTGTTCCTTTTGATCAATTATTATTAATTAGTTCAGCTATTACCACTGATCAGAACAGTCATGCTTACTTTGTATACATTTAAATTTTAGCAGCAACATTTCACATGTCATGAACTGATTCTATTTTTGAAGCTAATATATTTTCCTTCTATATATCAACACAGGCATAGGTGTACATCTGACAACACATAATACATTGGATGAGGTGGACTATTCATCCATATAAGTTTCTGCCATAATATACCAGTTAATCTTTAACGTGCTTGTTATTTGCCAAACGACGCTCAACCCCGTCCTCCCCCAGTTTCTATACTGACTTCATTAATGGCACAAAGGAGAAGCTGGGGACCCCAAGGGACTTGTGAGCAAAGCTATTTATTCAGCTATCTCTTGTCTGTTCCTCTAAAGTTGGGCTGATCTAATGGATGCTACTCAGGAACTTAGCCCCGTGCTCCATGATTAAGCTCTGGTAAAAGTAAGGCCAATTAAACTGGCAAGGAACGCTCAGCAATTATAGGCCAGGACAAATTATGGCTTATCAGACACTGCAATGAATTCTTAGTTAGGCTTATTCATTGGTTTAAGCCAGTGTTTCTCAACCTTAGCAACTTTAAGAAAGGTGGACTTCAACCCTGAGAATTCCCCACCCAGCTGGCTGAGGAATTCTGGGGGTTGAAGTCCACCTTTCTTAAAGTTGCCAAGGTGGAGAAGCATTGGTCTAAGCAACAACTTGACCTTGTCCCAAACTGACAAGATACCAATCCTGAGAGGAAACAGCCAGAGTTAATGTCCATCCTTCATGTATCTTTAAGTCTGTCCTGTCTCATCATACCCACAGCCAACTCATAGGCGCCTTATGTTTTATATACAGGAGCAATGCTGAGAGAGGTTTGGGATCGGTGTAGAATCCAATCTAAAAGTTGACATAAAGAAGACAACTGAGACAGGGAAGGGGAATGGAGGCCAGGATAAGCAAGGGTTAAACAAGGAAAAATGGGTGCTTATTTCAGGGTTGAGTTAGACCATGGTCTGCACCAACAAACTCTTTACACAACATGGAATCATTCCATCAGCACCAAGGACCAAAGCCCCATGGCTCTAAGACCTACTAGGTTTACTTACCCAGAAGCTTCCTATGCCAGCACATCTTCCACTAGACACGTGAAGTGAACTAAGAGTGAGGAATGCTTAGACACATTGGATCATAATCAAAATGATGAAAATATACACAGAGTTGGATCCAGGGGGGCTCCCTAAATCCACGTTTTTATGCTCATCATGACTTATCAGATCTCACTGACTTCAGTGGGACTAGCCTATACCTTACTTGACCTGCACTAAAACTACAGTGTACCGCTGGGGCACTTGCTAAAGGAGTGTGAGACACAAGCTCTACACAAGTAGGTGACATGCCCCCACAACTGAAAAGCAGTTTCTTGCAGTTGCTTCAAGCTCTCAATTATTCTCTTTAGGCACAATCATTTTCTAGTGCATATAAACGTAGGAGTTTCTCACCTGTATTTTTATTGGCCAGGTGAAGTTGCTGACATAGACAAAGAAAGTGATGTTGGGATTGTTGCGGAAATCAAATTTCTCATTGGAGAAGCTGTCCTTATACTCCTTGATCTGGTTCTTTGAAACCACTGGAATCTCCTCTCCAGCCTGTGTACCAGCTTATGAGCATTTTTTTTAAAAGAAGAAGAAACAAAGGGAGTGGAATTAGCAGGACACTAACATCAGGACCTACGTAGATATAGACTGAAACTGTCGTTCAATTATGAATGACCCCACTGACTCCTGTTGACCTGGTCACATCTGCTAAAATCCATCTACCACTGATGATTCCTGGGAGGACCGCTGAGTGAGCAACCAGAATGGTCATCTGGAGAAAAGCCAAATTATTAACCCAATAGACTAAACGGCCTTTCCTTCTGTGCCAATCTCCAGCAATATACAGTGGGGCAAAAAAGTATTTAGTCAGCCACCAATTGTGCAAGTTCTATGTATCGTGAGATTTTGAGTGAACACCTCCTTCCATCAGCAAGGGCATTGAAGATGAAACGTGGCTGGGTCTTTCAGCATGACAATGATAGGGTTGAGTTAGACCATGGTCTGCACCAACAAACTATGTATCGTGAGATTTTGAGTGAACACCTCCTTCCATCAGCAAGGGCATTGAAGATGAAACGTGGCTGGGTCTTTCAGCATGACAATGATAGGGTTGAGTTAGACCATGGTCTGCACCAACAAACTATGTATCGTGAGATTTTGAGTGAACACCTCCTTCCATCAGCAAGGGCATTGAAGATGAAACGTGGCTGGGTCTTTCAGCATGACAATGATAGGGTTGAGTTAGACCATGGTCTGCACCAACAAACTATGTATCGTGAGATTTTGAGTGAACACCTCCTTCCATCAGCAAGGGCATTGAAGATGAAACGTGGCTGGGTCTTTCAGCATGACAATGATAGGGTTGAGTTAGACCATGGTCTGCACCAACAAACTATGTATCGTGAGATTTTGAGTGAACACCTCCTTCCATCAGCAAGGGCATTGAAGATGAAACGTGGCTGGGTCTTTCAGCATGACAATGATAATATTAGTACTAGAATTGTTGGATCTTTTCCTGTTTTTTAAAAAAATTAAAATGTAAGCTTCCTGTAAAACATAAGAGAGAACTTGCACAATTGGTGGCTGACTAAATACTTTTTTGCCCCACTGTACCAGCCATGAATGATAAAAGATTTTGACATTTTAAACATGTCTCAATTGCTCAATGGGCAGTCTGCATTCGCTTGATCTTATGTTTTACAGGAAGCTTACATTTTAATTTTTTTAAAAAACAGGAAAAGATCCAACAATTCTAGTACTAATATTCCCGGACACTACTGGAAAACCCCCAGGGAAATATTCTCAGTCAGCACGAGAAAGCGAACAGGTGGCCAATGGCTCTGGGTTAGATGAAACCGTAAATACAAAGTGCTCAAAATGCCCACACTGTAACACTTTAAGGGGTGCTGATCTTCTAACTCTGCAGCGTTTATTGTGGATCATCAAACTGACAAGAAAGGCTGACTTCACTTTCCTTGCTACCATCAGTAAACTAGAGTTATGTACGTAAATGCTTGTTATGTAAAATGTTAACGTTTTACCAACCAAAGCAAGCATTCAAAGTGGAAAATGAGATAAATGAGTATTCCCTTTGTTTCTCAGCCCACCTCGATATACTAACAGTAAAACCACGTCTCAATCAATGTATGTTATTGCTCAGTGCAGAAACCTATTAAATCCACAAGTCACCGAGAGGTAAGAGTGTTCTGCATATAAAGAAGTGAGACAAAGGGATGCTGAGCGGCTGCCGTAAGCATCTTTTCTTTCTATTGGTTGAGCTGCTGTGAGGTCACAGAAAGGCTACAGTCAGCGAGAAAGCCAAGAATTTCTGGGATGAGATAGAAGAGAATGAAAGAGGGAGGTGGCAAGGGACAGGATGCAAAAAGAAGACAATGAAAGCTTAAGGGGAGAGAGAAGAGGAGCAAATGGGGAAAAACAACAAGCAAATTGGGGAGCAGAAAGATGAAGGGACTGCGTAAGTAGAGGCCGAGTCTCACGCTTCACGCGTGCTTTAAAAACAAGGCTTCGGTCAGGAAGCTAATGGCAGAAGAAAACAGAGGAACTGAAATCTCCGAGCTGTGGACGCTACTCTTTCCTTAACCATTTGTTAGGCATTTCTTTTTCTAAGCCTATTTGGGAACATTTCTCACCTGCAAAACTTGTCGACCAAGTGATGTTAAGGTTGAAGTTTTTGGAAGCATTGATAAACATGTCCAGGTCTCTGTTTTGCTGGTGTCAAGGAACAAGATAGAAACACGGGTTAATGGCTGAAGCACCAGGCAGCTCCCCCACAAATTGCAGGTGTCATTTGGGGAAGAGTAAAGGTGTGCCCCACATTCAGATCTGCCTCCTCTATGTTAAAGTAATTCACCGTTTCGGTTACTGTTAGCTATTGTTCATTTTTCAAGGAAACCGTCCGCAGACAGTTCACCAAGAAAAAGCAGAGCTGAGGGCAAAATGAGATTAAAAACGAAGGTAGACAAACAGATATACGTCAAACCAAGCAGATGGAAAAGAAAGAAATACACTCTAAATACATTTTATTCCAGAATCTAGATCCCAACACGTTCTTCCCTTGAAATGTGTTTGGGCCCAGATTTCGGACTATGCGCGCTGTATTTTTCTTTTCCATTTACAAATCGCAAGCAGGCAATCTCACACCCCCTTACGTTTGCACTCTTTCACTTATCTTTTTCCTAATAGTTGCATTACAAGTAGGCCGATACCCAGAACTCTGAACAGACCCACTTGGAACAGCAAAAAATAGCAGGCACCCCCCGTTTGAACTATGTAGCTGCAGGGCTCAGAAAGGTGGGAGTCTGAGTCTAACAACATCTGGATGAAGAGTCCCCATCTCCGCTCTCGTCTTTTTAAAATAGCTGCTTACGGAGATATTGAGAGATGTCTAGACCAGCTCCCCCAATCTTCATTTTTCTATTCTTTCCAACCCAGCAGACTATTGGGTAGGAATTGTGTAAAGGGGTTTGGAACTCTGTCCCTCTGTCTGTCAGCAGGGTAACTCTCCAAAAACAGAACAGGACAGGACCACATTTGTTATGGGGGGAAAGCCATCAAAAGGGGGACTGAGTTCCTACAAAGGGAGCAGATCCAGATGGGGGTCGCAGAGAAAAAAAATCCAGAACAAATTCCCTCAGTGCAACCCCGTGGCTGGGCAGGGGCTCATAAAGTTGCTGGTTCCTCCATTCTAAGCACCCCCTCTCCCCCCTGCCCCATTACACGACCCTGAATAGTGCCAACTTTAAAGAGTTGGAAGGAATGCAGAAGCCACACGCTTTTTTCTCTGAAGCAACCCCTAATGACCTCTGCCAGACATGCAATATTGCAACACCACACAGAGAAAACTAGGGACAACCTCAGTGGTTCATTAATCTCAGCATAGAGGCTGTGGACCATCCATAAACATCTTTTTTGTGGCTCATCACAAATGTGGGGATTCCCTCCAATCTGTTACCGATTTCTTCTGAGACTGTGGGTGAAGGTGAGATCCCTGGGAAGGGGGAGGCTTTAATATCCCACCCCATCCCAACCCAACCCCACCATGGCATTCCAAGTTTCGGACATATTAATTTTCAGCTTAACTACAGTTATGTGGAGAATGTATCTGTTTCAAGCACAATTTTTCCCATCAGCCTAGGGTGCTGGCAGCTATAGTCCAATGCATCTGGAGGAATCCAGACCGGGGAAAAACTGTGACACAGCAATGAATTCCTGGAGTAAATGACAGACTGGAGGATGCATTCTTTCCTTCCACACTGTGCTTGGGATTGGCTTGGGATTTCCCGCAACAAGACCGGGGTATTGTGCCCGTTTTCATGGGCACCCATTAGCCACCTTAGATGCTCACACACATGGCATGTACAAGTGTGTGTATATATATCTGTAACTGCACACAACATACTGATTTCTTCGCTGGCCAAGGACAGGGGAGACCTTTAAATAAATGCGATGCATAGTTGAGAGAGTCTACCAACCTCTTCAGGCGTTGCTACAAAATTGATTGCTGTATAATAGCGATCATCTTCTTGGGAAAGACTGAAGGTGAACTGATAGTCAATAAGAAGAGTGTCTGCATGGAAGCATAACGAGATCGTTAGGAGATGTCTTGGTACAAGGCCAGAGCAAGCAGACGGCTCGTGGCTTACGGCTCGCTGATGGGAATATCTGGAGGAGCTGCATGGCTGCCCTCCCTGCGAAAAGGGGAGGCAGGAGGTGAACCACCAAAAGCCCCAGTCACGCTTTGCCTCAACACTGCGTCAGCCATACGATCAGGCTCTCGCTATTCCACTGAGTAGAAGAAAGCAGGCGAAGTGCTTTGAACAATCTGGCAGAACAGAAATGGTTTAATCTCTTTTCACGGGCTGACGTGGATCCAAGGCACGGAGAATGCCGATGAGGACGGAGCCCAGCTTGTGAGAAACTCAGCCCCGCAAGGAGCGGACGGTCTCTTGATTTGTGGGATTCCCGTCATCTCCTTAAGACCAGTTTGTTCTCGCAGGCGTTTAATTTATTTGGCTAGCTTTTGATTTAGTTTGTATCTGCTGTTCTCTTTCCATTTTAGACTCTAATTGGTTTTTAATGTGTTGTTTGATCGTTTGAAATTGGTTTTGCTCGCACGGTTTAGATTAAAAGGTGGAATGAAAATATGTCCAAGCAAACAAATCTCTGTGTATCAAAGTTAAGGGGGAGTTTGTTGGTCTGTTTTACTTTTAAGGGCCTCCTTAAAAAAAGGTTCAATCTTTGTTTATCCCCCTCCATTTCTGAAAATCTGAACTGGGCTTATATTCTTTCAGAAAGAGAGGTGCTCTTAAAATCATCGTTGTCACTGGAAGTCAAGTGACATCTGGAGCTAAAAATCACTAGTGCCAGCTGGGTGACCAACCACACCCTTTCCCCAACAGGAACAACCTCACCACAGTTGCCACATTGGCAACCTCACACTTCATTTAGTACAATGCATTCGTTGTAGGGCTACTGTTGGAGTGGGTCTGGAAGTTGCAGTGGCCAGATTGTGGGGTGTGATATCTGGCCCAGGTTGCAGCTTTATTACAGCAAATGCCCTGGCTGTCAAGCTACCAAGGCCAGCAGACTTTGCACGGTTATGACAAAGTCCTAACCAGCCTGGGAGAAGGAACCCTGCCAGTTTCAGAGCTAGTCAGTCACCAAGATCATCAGAGGAGATCCTGCTACATATATTGAGAGCTGCTGAACGCCATTTCGCAGCTTTCCATGGGCAGACCTTCTCTGTGGTGATGACGCACTATGGAAGGTGCCCGTTGAAAACTCACCTCTTTACCCAGGCCTTTCCAGGATGAAAATCAGAAAAAAATTCTCCCCACATCTTTGCCACTGTGAGGGAATGGAATTATGAAGGCCAGGCTCAGGGAGATAAACATGTTCTTAGCTCGCCAGAGGAGCGTGGGAGCAACAAGAGGATGAGACTGGCACCTCCCTGAGGAATTCACACTGTTGTGGCTGGAGGACTTTGGGAACTGGGGTTTGAGTCTGGGAAGATTCTTGCTAGAGGTTGTAGCTAATAAACAGAGCTGAACTGAATCTGCATTGTCTCTTGGAGTTCCTTGGGCTAGGCCTGACAGCCACATTTTAACAAATATGTTTGCAATGGGGCCAGGATATTAATCTATTGGAGCTCTGTCTGCATTGCACTGTTTATATACGACTCCTTATTTGTATTCTCTATTCTCTATATTCTTTTGAATTTGTACTTGCACTTGTGTGATCTATTTCTTATATTCTTTTAAAACTAAATAACAACCACAACCACAACCACAACCACAACAACAACAACAAAGTACTTGAGCTCTGGCATGTGGGTGTAGGTTATATGGAGGCGGGGGCTGACCTTTTTTATTGGTGCTTCAATCTGGTCCCCCCCCACTTTTTTTTTTTATGAATTGGGAACTGTTTTTATGTTGGCTGCCCAGAGTTTCTTTGAATAGATGGGCAGCAACCAGAAAATGTGATCAATCAGTCAACAAATAAAACATTTCCCTTTTTTCCAGTTGAATATTATGTTTTTATTACTTTAACAATGTGTTAGTTATTATTTATTTATTAAATGTAGAGGCCATCCCAATCTATCACATCAGTCCCCCTAGGCAGACCAGACCAGGCAATCAACTCTATGGGAGGCTAAAACTACATTTGTTAAGATTGTCAATAATCTTAACGCTCTACATGGGGCTACCCTTGAAGAGTATCCAGAAGCGGCCACGCAAGCAATTTTTGGGGCCTGAAGAAGGACCCGTATAACACCTTTGCTCCATGAGCTGCATTGGGTGCCAGTTTGCTTCCGGGTCCAATTCAA